AAGTCGGAACTTCTCTCTATCCATTTTCCTTCTTTGTGCTGTCAGCCATTTTCAGGAGAAACTGATGAATGCAGGGATTTGGTACACAGTTTCTCACTGTATTTGAAGCCTGGGCTATTTAATTACTAAAGCGAAAAGCTGAATTTTTATTGAAATAAATCATCCTATTGCATTTCATGGGAGCAGTTCTTTACAATAATAATTAATTCCTCCCCTGTCACATCCTTTCTCTTATTTTAAACATGACCTCATGGTGTGAATCATAAAAACATTAAAACTTATATCTGGAAAGTTCCTAAGTCCAAAGCCTTCTTTTTTTGCTAGGAGGAAGCTGAAACCTATTAAATAAATGACTCACCAGTTAGGGGGAGGCAGGTTGATGACAGCTTGTTTTAAACACGCTTTAGTGAAGGTTATTTCTCCCTAAATGTCAAGGTTTTAAATGAACCAAAAGTTTAGGTTATTTCTAGTGTTCATGCCTAACACAAAACTGATCCTATACATCTATTTGACTCATATCTTGTACATAATTTTTTCTTCTTTTTATTATTGAGTGAAGATTTACAGAGCAGATCATCAGTTTTACATTCCACAACATATATATTTCATTTCATTTAAATGACTGCAATCCCCTACACGTATCATCAGGTTACATTATTTAGCTCTATTCCCTTTCATGCTCTACATCTTTCTTCTGCCGATCTTCCTCTTATATATTGCCTTTCCTGTCACCCTCTGTTGTTAAGCACTGTGGAGTTGCTTCGACTCATAGTGACCCTGTATAGGGTTTCTGAAGAATGGCTGGTGAGTTTGAACTGCTGACCTTATATTTCAAACAGACCACTGGCCAGTTAATAATTCTCCCTCCCTTCCCACCTCTGGTAATCATCATAGAAAGTTTCTATTAGAATGAAAACCTTTTACTTTTTGCAATAGTGGTCTCATAAAATATTCCTAATAGCTTACTGATAGGGAAAAAAAATAACATCACGAGTTGCTGTTGTTGTTTTGTGTTGGGCAGTGGGAGTTTTCTAGAACAGATGTAGTTGAATCTTGGAGAGAGGTTTTTTTCAACTGTTAAATTTTATTTTACTTAAAAAAAAAAGAAAAGCCCAAGTAAGTTATATAACTTCCTAATGCTCATAAGTTAATTTGGCCAACTTGGAGACTAGAATTCGCCTGGTTTTCTGACGATAAAATTGGTTAGTTTTCAACTGAAATAGTGTGAGGTCCGCCACACAATTGAAATGTACCCATGTAAACAAGAAAAAGACAAAAATCCTGTGCGTTAAAATTTATTTTTATATTTTTATTCAAGTGTTCTTTGTAACCTGCATATACCCTTGAGAACTTTTCAGGGTTATGTAACCCATGACAAAGCAAGGCAAACCTTTCCCATCCAGTTCTCAGGTTTCTCCTTTCTCATAAAGGGGGAAACATGTTAACTGACTACTGTGCACTTAGACATTTTTAGGGTGCTGAATGAAGTCTCACACACAGAACTGTGACCTCCAGGGGACTCTCTATCCTGGGGGGGTGGGGAATGAGAAATGCAAGCAGGCACCAATCCAGGCGCCCCACTCCCCACCCCCACATCTAGCTGGGGCCAAACACCCCCGCCCTTTGTGAGCTCAGCCCATCTTCACATGCTCACATAAGCAAGCCAATCCTGCCCTGTTGCTGGGCTTCTGTCAGTTTTCCATTGGTGCCTGCTCTGAAGCAATCTATTCTGGGGTGTCTACAAAGGACGGATCTGTGGGTGGAGCGGAATGAACTAGTGGGTGGAATGAACTAGAAAGAGATCCAATGACTAATCTTACTTCTGGTACATTCTAGTACATTGCATTCTAGGTCAGAGGTTTCAAGTTTTAGGAGCGTGACTTGATACCTGATTCCTGAGTCCAAGTGGGCCTTGGCCTTTGTCCTGGCCATTGCTGAATCAGATTTTTCTCAAGTAAGTAGAAGAGTTGTTGGAACAACTGTCCTTTTGGAAAGTACAGTTTCTTTATCTGGGCATTTATATTTGCGGCTGGAAAATTATTTGTTGTGAGGGACTGTCCGTTTTAGGATATTTAGCAGGTAGGAGTCCTGATGTGGCACTGTGGGATAATATATTAGATCACAAGGTCACTTTAAACCACAAGGCTGGTAGTCCAAATTCAACAATCGCTCTTTGGAAACCCTATACAGGGTCGCTATGAGTCTGAACTGACACGATGGTGTTGAACAAGCAGGCACGTGCTGGTAGCAGCAACGCCTACCCCGCAGTGATGATGACCACTAAAATGATGACCACTAAACATGTCTCTAAAACCAAACCAACCCTACTACTGTCCAGTCAGTTCCTTCCCACTCATAGTGACCCTACAAGACAAGACTTATCTTTCTCTCTTGGTGCTGCTGGTAGTAGGCTCAAACCCCCGACCTTTGTCAAATGTGCCCTGGGTGACAAAACTGCTCCTGGCTGGGGACTTTTAGTGGAATCACTCGGTAAACTCGTTCTTGTCCTTTGTGTCTTCGAGTCGGTTCCAATCCATAGCGACCCTGTATAGGGTTTACGAGGAGCCGCTGGTGATCCTTGAACCGCCCACATTGAGGTTCAAACCGACTCCGCAGTCTAGTGCATGGGGTTTCCAAGGAGAGGCTAGTGGATTTGAACGACCAATCTTGTGGTTAACAATCCAGTGCTTAGCCTACAGTGCCACACCAGGACTAGTACTCTAGAAAACACTATCCACTTCTTTCAGGGGCCATTGCCCCTGAGTCACTTGGCTCCAACCTTGGGAGAAATGTTTGAACAATAACCCACTTCGGGACTCAAAGTTAGAGAATGCTGGGGTGTTTTAGCGATTATTTTCCCTGCCAAAGACAAATCAAAGAGAATTTTGATTTCTCTTTGGAAGCAACCCTTGGCCTAGTCTACTCCCCTTTTCTTTGTCCTCTCTTCCTCCTCCCTCCTCTGCCTCTGAAACCAGCCATGTTTTTCTCTGTACCTTTTGACTCTAAAGAAAACTATGTTTCAAAACTATGACTCAGCCTTTAAGCAACTGGAATCACGAGACTTGCAGCTGAGCTACCATTAACAGCAAACAGGGCGTGGTTGGAAGTTAGGCCTGGTTACTTTAGAAAGAACTTCAGTTTTATTGTTCCTTTAAAGCCTCTTTCCTGAAATTTGGAAAGAAATTACTTTCACAGAAATCTATAATGGAAGATATTGAGGTCTCTGGTCAAACTTAAAAATGGCATTTTTAAAATTAATTTTTTATACTTGGTACATATTATTTGTGTTTTAGAAAAATATTTAAAATTGCCGAGGTTAAAATCAAGTTTGAGCAGCACTCCGATCTTTTGTGCTTTAATAGATATATATGTTAGAAATATATTCGACAGCACTTCACAACAACAAATGTTAGAAAATACATAGCATCATCTTTGGTTTGATTCACATTTTTAGGGTGTTTAAAAATAATGTTCACAATTTAATACAGGAATATATTTTTCCGAGAGTAGAAAAATGATCAGTCAGTTGGTTATTTTTTCTGGAAGGTTTTAAGGCTAGACATTAAAATCGTATGTAATATAGGAAACGTCTTAAGAAATTTCGGTTCAGAGAATTCAGTGACCACTGTGACTTCTTAAAAAGCTGTTTTAAATCCTCACCGTATTAATGTACTTTAAAACTCTTTTAAAAAATAGGTTGAATTAGTGACACAGTTCTTAAAAACAACGACTTGGCTAGTGATTCTTTTACTCCTCTTGTATCAAAATAGAATTTGCCTGTAGGACTAAAGTTCATATTTGGAATATCTGAAAAAAGTGTCCTAAAAAATACAGTTGAGATTCACTTAGTGTCTTTATTTTAAAACATTAGTCTAGTTTGAATTCTAAGCTAAACAACAAAAGTAAAATTGCAAAGCCTCCCGTTTACAGTACTTGTTCACAGTGTACAACTTTTGTAAACCAAAGGTCTCAGAGATTAAACCAGAAGACGAAAGAGAACACCCTAGAAGTTTCTATTTCTTTCAGGTTTCCTTTCTAACTCAAATAATTTGTAAAAAGCCCTGAGATTTCCTTTCTTTCCCTAATTCAATGTAGGCACGCCAACAATCATTTCTGCGCTGGAAAACTGTTTTGTTTTTGTAGACTTGCTGGTAGTCCTTATTCAGGGATCTAGACTTTAGTTGAGGCCTGGATTTAAGCGTTGGCCTTTGTCCTGACCCAGAGCTGAACCAGATTTGTCGAGTCATTCGTCTTGTCCTTGTGTTGGTGCCTGCTTCTTTGGGTTGGGACCAGCCGCCACCAGTAGGGCGCTGGGACTCCGGGGATCCATATGATAGGCAAGCAGGGGGGCATAGTGAAACACAAACATCATTGTTTCAAACATGAACCAAAACTACGACCCCTGGGCTCTGGGTGGGGGCAGGGCTCGCTAGAGCGGAAGTGGCCCCCGACTCTGTCAGAGCGCTTAACCCAAACTGCTCGGCCGCAGTTTGTTGTCTCCAACAGCTCGGACAGTTGCAGGGGATGGGAAGGGGCTGCGGGAAGGCGGGGGACCTGCCGTTCCGGATACCCAGAGAATTCCGCTCCGGGTTTTCGCGCCACCCTCGAGCCGCCCTCGCCCAGCACCCGCTTCCCGTCCCCTCCCCCAAAGCGTGAAGCGTCACGTTGTTCTACGCAGCACGACTGAACGTTCTGATCCTTCCGCCAGGGTATTCGGGATGGGGGACCGCTGCCCACCCGATCCAGTCCGAAAGTCCAAGTATTAACAAAAAACATTTTAAGAAGGGATTTGGATGAGTTTGGGGGGGGCCTTCTTTTTTTTTTCTTTAGCTTTCCGGAAGTGCTAGGGAAAATAGTCCTTTCTCGGCGTTTCTGCGGAGGGATCTTTGTGGGCGGTGGCTCACTCTATCTATATAAGGAGACACCGGGTGTGGCGTAGTTAGTTCCGTCGGTGCTGGTGTTCTGTTGGAGTTCCTTTGTGTGCGCTGCTGCCTTCGCCACTTGGTGAGGAGGGGGTTACTACGTTGGTCTTGGGACCGTTGGGCGGAGAAGGAGGGAATGCGGCTAACTGAGCTGCTCGCCGCGGGCGGAGGGCAGCCGGGTTTATAGTTGACGGTGGTGACCGGGAAAGAGGTGGGGGGGAAATGAAATAGCAAAATGGCGGCCGTTTTAGATTAAAACTGGCCGAGATTAGAACGACGAAACTGAGGGGATGGAAGATTGTGAGGGATAGGAAGTAGCGGAGGGTCACCAGGCTTCAACGGCAGGAGACGGAGGCTCAGAGTGGGTTCAACGCTTTCTCGGTCGGGGTTGGGCAGCGTTTGTGGAACCTACATCAATGTCGGAGTTTTTGTGGCGTGACTTGATTAAAAGTTGGGTTTACGGTCGCAGGGAGGGGGCGCCAACTATGGCCGAGCTACGCTTACGCTCGAGGGAGGCGGCGGCGTAACGTCCTTCCGCCATTACGTGATGCGGAGCCGGTCTATTAGCGCACAATGGCGGGTGGGACCGTCTGCCGGTAAATGCGTGAAGTAGCTTCTTGCCATTTAGGGACGAGACAGGGTTTGGGCCTGGGGTAGACCTTGCTGAGTTGACAGGGGACATTCTGTTTGGGGAAGGAATCAGGCTGCTCAGTTTACATAGGTCTGGTTTCCTGTTTTAAGCAGCTTAATCTTGGGTTTTGAGGTAATCTGTCAGACCTATTAGGTAATATTGACTGTTTTCAGGTAAGCTTTTTAAAAAAAAGTACAGAATTTGTTAATTTCGGGTTCTGGTAATGTGTCATGGAGTCGGTTCCGACTCATAGCGACCCTGTACAGGGTGTCCGAGGTTGTAAATCTTTACGGGAGCAGAAAGCCTTATCTTTCTCCCACGGAACAGCTGGTAGTTTCGAGCTGCTGATCTTGCAGCTCTTGGTTCGTTCGCAGCAGGAGTGTAATGATCAATTATCTGCTAAACATGGGTTTTGTTTCTTTTCTTTGTAAACAGACAATGCAGATCTTTGTGAAAACTCTCACGGGTAAAACTATTACCCTTGAGGTTGAGCCCAGTGACACCATTGAGAATGTCAAGGCAAAGATCCAAGACAAAGAAGGCATCCCCCCTGACCAGCAGAGATTGATCTTTGCTGGGAAACAACTGGAAGATGGCCGTACTCTGTCTGATTACAACATCCAGAAAGAATCCACCCTGCACCTGGTCCTTCGTCTGAGAGGGGGGATGCAGATCTTTGTGAAGACCTTAACTGGTAAGACAATCACCCTTGAAGTAGAGCCTAGTGACACCATTGAGAATGTCAAGGCAAAGATCCAAGACAAGGAAGGCATCCCCCCTGACCAACAGAGGTTGATCTTTGCTGGGAAGCAGCTGGAAGATGGCCGTACCCTGTCTGACTACAACATCCAGAAAGAATCCACCCTGCACCTGGTCCTTCGTCTGAG